CCACAGTTGGCCCCTGGTCTTATTCTGACTGATGACATTGAACTTCTCCATGGTTTGTTTCCACAGATGTAGTTGATTTGACTCATGTGTATTCCATTCTGCAAGGTCCACGTGTGTAGTCACCATTTATGTTGAAAAAAGGTATTTTCAATGAATAAATTGATGGTCTTGCAAAATTCTATCATGCGTTCTCCAGCTTCATTTCTATCACCAAGGCCATATTTTTCAACTACTGATCCTTCTTCTTTGTTTCCTACTTTCATATTTCAATCACCAGTAATTATCAATGCATCTTGATTGCATGTTTGATCAAATTCAGACTGCAGAAGGGTAAATATCTTCTATTTCTTCATCTTTGGTATTACTGGTTGGTGCATAAATTTGAATAACAGTCGTGATAACTGGTCTTCCTTGTAAGCTTATGGATATTATCCTATCACTGACAGAATTGTACTTTAGGGTAGATCTTGAAATGTTCTTTTTGATGATGAATGGGATGCCATTCCTCTTCAATTTGTCATTCCCAGCATAGCAGCCCATACAGTTGTCCAATTCAAAATGGCCAATACCAGTCCATTTTAGCTCACTGATGCCTAAGATATTGATTTTTATGTATTCCATTTCATTTTTGACAACTTCCAGTTTTCCTAGATTCATACTTTTTGCATTCCATGTTCCAATTAATAATGGATGTTTGCAGCTGTTTCTTTTCATTTTGAGTCTTGCCACATCAACAAATGAAGGTCACAAACGCTTTACTCCATCTACGTTAGGGTTCACTCTACTTTGAGGAGGCAGCTCTTCCCCAGTCGTATTTTGAGTGCCTTTCAACCTGAGGCATTCATCTTCTGCCACTACACCAGACAATGTTCCGCTGCTATTCATAAGGATTTCACTGGCCAATTTTTTTTTAGAAGTAGACTGCCAGGTCCTTCTTCCTAATCTGTCTTAGTCTGGAAGCTCTGCTGAAACCTGTCCACCATGGGTGACCCTGCTGGTATTTGAAATACCAGTGGCATAGCTTCCAGCATCATAGCAACACAAAAGCCACCACAGTACAGCAAACTGACAGACGAGTGGTAGACCACTAAAATAGCTACTGTGAATTCCCTTCCAGTCTTATTTCAAATTGTTTTTTGTTGCTTTTAGGCATATGATGTTCTTCCCCTTCCTTAGGGTGAAACAGACATCTATATTTCCTTCGACTCTTCTTGTATGTTTCAGTTTGATACAGCATTTTCTCCATACATCCAAATCCTTCTTACTATCCCAGTTGCTCTATAGCTGCTTCCTGGAGGGTCTCATAGATGGCGTGTGTGTGTGTGTGTGTGTGTCTGTGTGTGTGTGTGTCTGTGTTTGTGCCTGTGTGTGTGTGAAAAGCATTTTGTTTGTGTTGTATGGAGAAGTAGTTTTCTTTATATCCTCTAACGCAATGGTTTTAAAGATTTTAAAGCAAATTTTTCAAGCAAAACTTTACTCAGAGCTTGAATGCTTGAAACAGATTCCTTGGGCTCTTTGACTCTGTCTTGATTGGCAGAGGCACAACTCATTGTTTGCAGGTGTCCCAAGCCTTTCTCAGTCTCTGCAGAGGACGACTTCAAGGGCTGTGTGGGACTGGGCCCTTCATGTGGTTGAGGGATGAGCAACAGAACATGGAGATGGGACACAAATGCACATAAATCTTAAAAATTCACCCAACATCACGTTGCCTTATCATTGGAAAGGCAAACTATCAAGTTATACCAAGCTGTAAAAAGTCACAGCCCAACTTTTTAGTTGCTCTTTTTGTTTGGCTTGTATTAATTTGTTGTCAAGTATTGGTAGTCTTGGGGGTAGGGTTGCTAACAGGAAGAAAAAATGACCATATCGTCCATGGTAGGGAACAATGCCACTGTTCGCCACAGAGGCTGAGAACAGAGTATGAGGAAAAAATCAGATGAACATGCAAAAGCCTCTAAAATAGATATGATTATCCCTCTTTACAGAGAAACAAATGGGTTCTTCCAGGGGCAGTAACTTGCTTGGAATCACACAGCTAGATTGCCTGACTGCAGGGCCCAGCCTCTTTAGTACCTCCGCACAGAGCCTCTCCAAGGAGGAACAAGCCGCAGGCTGAGGGAGGTAGAGCAAGAGTCTCTACCTCGTGTCCTTCCTGACAGTATACTGGAGCCATGTGACAACCTCGGTAGAGCCAATGCCTACAGTCTCACAGGCCCAGTCTCCCTGCCTCAACCCCAGCCTTAAAACCAGGAAAGCAGGTTTACCCTCAGGGCCACCCTCATGGGCAAATAAAGGGCCTAAAAATATCTCCCCCACATGTTTTACTTGCGGTCTGAAATTCCTTTCACAGGAGGTAGCCTGGTGTGGTGGAAAGAACAGTGGACTAGGAGTTGGAGCTCCGCCTCTACCAAGCCCTGAGGCCTAAGATGTGACAACATTATAATAGCCAGCTCACACACACACCCATTGCCATTCCAATTCACACCAACACTATAGGACACAGTAGAACTGCCCTATAGGGTTTCTGTCTTAGTTATCTAGTGCTTCTATAACAGAAATACCACAAATGGGTGGATTTAACAAACAAATTTCTTTTCTCACGGTTTAGGAGGCTAGAAGTCCGAATTTAGAATGCCAGCTCCAAGGGAAGGCTTTCTTGCTCTATTGGCTCTGGCGGAAGGTCCTTGTCTCTTCAGCTTCTGCTTCCCATTCCTTAGAGAGCTCCATGTGTCTTGGCATCTATACTTCCCCATCTCTGCTTCTTTCCCTTGCTTGTTTAATTTCTTTTCTATCTCAAGAGAGACTGACTTAAAACACGCTCTACACTAATCTCGTCTCATTAACATAACAAAGACAACCCATTCCCAAATGGGATTATAACCAAAGGCATACAGGTTAGGATTTACAACACATACTTTTGGAGGACACAATTCAATCCATAACAGTTTCCAAGGCTGCAAATCATTATGCAAGCAGACTGCCACATCCTCCTCCCACGGAGCGGGTTGGTGGGTTCGAGCCACCAACCTTCCGGTTAACAGCTGAGTGCTTAACCACTGCGCCACCAGGACTCAAGCCAGAGCTCAAGTAGAGAGACACCTTCAGAATGGCTTCAATGATTGCCTGTCCATGGATGGTTAGCAACTGGAAGGTGGGATTTTTATCTTACTTAGCTTTGTGCCCTAAGTACTTAGCACAGAAGGTGCAGAAAGAATGCCCTCAAGAAAGTTTTTTTTTAAAAAGCAGGTGAAAGGGGAGACCAGTTTCCCCAAACACCCAAGAATAGGGAATAGTGGCTGGACCTGTGGCCACCAGCTAGCAATGGATCAGATGTTTCTGGTGGTGAAGGAATGAGTGCGCTTCTGTAGGAGGGCCCTCCTGCGGGAACTCTTGAGAGGGAGGGTGCCTCCAACAGACTGCAGGAACACCAGCCGCTTTGGGAAGTACTTCCTACTCTGGAAGCAGGGGCAGGTAGCCAGGATGCAGGACCGCCATGTTTCATTAACTCCGGGGAACACCACTCTCACAGACTAGAAAGTGGACAGAGCCCCCTAGAGTTGTAAAAACACAGGTTTTGATCATATCAGTTCGGTTCTGTGGCTCATCTCTGGCCTTTCCCACCCCTGTGATCTAAAGGCAAGCTACTCAATCTTTCTAAGTCAATTTCTACAGCTATCAGGTGGAGATAACTAGCTGTCATAGGCCTAGTATGAGGATGAAATGAGAAAATCCATACATAGCACATTTGCTCAGTGCCTGCCACACAGTAAACCAAAACCAAACCCATGCCATCAAGTCGATTCCAACTCATAGCCACCCTATAGGACAGAGTAGAACTGCCTCACAGGGTTTCCAAAGAGTGGCTGGTGGATTCGAACTGCCAGTTTTTTTTTGGTTAGCAGCTGAGCTCTTAACCGCTGTACCACCAGGGCTCCTGCCACACTGTAGGCATCATCAAACACCGGCTCCTTTTTATATTCTCCTGATGGTCATGCATCCTCTTTAACACAAGCTTTATTTTCTATGATGTGTGTGTGTTTCCTGGTTGTCCAGCTGGGCTTTAAGTCCTGGAAAGGAAGGATGATGACTTTGATTCCCAGCAGGAATCAGAACCCAATGGATTGTAGGTACTCAGCACCTGCCTAGAAATGATCTTGATGGTAATTCCATCATTGCTCATTTTTTCTGGCTATTATTGACAGAATTCTTACTTAGATCTCACATTTCTTCTCCATACACTCCTTTTATTGAGTATGTGCTGGGTACAAAACACTGTTCTAGAAGCCACTGAGATATGGGGATGATTGAGCATGATCCTTGTTGATCTTATGATTCAGAGCCACTGCTGAAGCACACAGTGCTCACTGCTGTACCACGCGGGGCAGATAGCCCAAAGTTGGGTTTCGGTGTTTTCTCAAAAGGCTTCCTATCCGTGTGTGCAAAGCTTCTTCTGTGTTAGATGGTCAGGAAGGGAGAGAGCAAGTAAACAGAAAGGCAATGGGGTAGGTTCCATTTTCATGTGATGCTATGGTAACACAGTAAGCCAAAGAGGGCAGCAGAGCAGCCACAGGAGCAGGTGGAAGTGTCACCCATGGAAGTTAAGACCGCAGTTGTGTATCCTACGGACTCTACTGACTCACCATTCAATAGCACCACTAACAGCTGCAGGTGTCCAGGGGAGTGGGCCAGTCTCCTGGCAGCTGGCTTTTCCTCAATGACCAGTGCACGAAGCAGAGCTCAAAAGAGGTGGCAAATCAAAATGGCCAGACACACAGGGCCTTACGCACATGCTCCCCGATCTTGGGCCCACATGTCCCCTCCTGACTGAAGTCCCCTGGCCCAGCATCTAGGTGAGGAGGGGGATCACAAGGCAGAAGAGCCAGGTGCAGAGACACAGGAAATCAGAGTCTGAGCCAGGGCTCCTCCTTCGAGACCACAGAGGAGCAGCACCTGCCCAGGGGGGCTGGAGCCCCAGTGGCCGCCCAAGAGAAGGGTAGTACCTGGGTGCCGCTGCCCCGCATCATGTCCTCAGGGATGGCGTAGATCTGGTTCTTCATCTCCACCTTCTGGAGGCCATTGTCTGTTACTCTCACCCACAGCACACGGAAGTTGGTCCCTCCAAGGTCTAGGGCCAGGAACTCTCCATCTTCTGCAGAGAAAGGAGAGGCCACTATTAACTTCAGAAAGACAATAAGATCAAACCATTTCACAGAGACTGAGACTGAAAACCTATGACTTCCCCTGTCTTAGTGATCTAGTGCTGCTATAACAGAAATACCACAAGTGGATGGCTTTAACAAAGATAAATTTATTATCTCACAGTCTAGTAGGCTAGAAGTCCGAATTCAGGGTGACAGCTTCAGGGGGAGGCTCTCTTCTCTGTCGGCTCTAGAGGAAGGTCCATGTCATCAATCTTCCCCACTGGAGGAGCTTCTCAGCTCAGGGATCCCGGGTCCAAAGGACCCACTATTCTCCCAGCTCTTGTTTCTTGGTGGTATGAGGTCTCCATGTCTCTCTGCTCACTTCTCTCTTTTATATCTCTTTTGAGATATAAAATCTCAAAAGAGATTGACTTAAGACAAAACCTAATCTTATAGATTGAGTCCTGCCTCATTAACATAACTGCCACCTATCCTGCCTCATTTACATCACAGATAAAATTTACAACACATGGGAACATCACATCAGGTGACAAAATGGTGGACAATCATGCAATACTGGGAATCATGGCCTAGCCAAGTTGACAGGTATTTTGGGGGGTGACAATTCAGTCCATGACATCCCCCATGGAGAGGGGCTGACTCTGGGTGACAGGGTGGCCAATAGATTTTATTTTTTTCTACACACATGTATGTATTGTCTGAATTTTTTTTAATGCTAATCATTTTTATGTTACTTTATAATTCAGGTCAACAAGGAGGCAGTTTCACCCTGACAGTCTCTCCAATGATGGCATGCTCACCCCTCACAGGAGCTGTTTCCTAAGGGTGCCCAGCAAGCACCCATGGAGCTGTCAGGGCACATCAAGCCCTATGCCCAGCCTCCATGCCTCAGTTACGTGCTTCATACCCAAGAACACTCAGCCTGTGGGCCCCTGGGCCTTCTGCCAAATTGTCATCACTGTACAAAATTTATCTTTTAATGTTTACATACTATGATGGTAATGTTCTCATGCATGGTGAGAAGGTCACATGATGGAGTGGAATGGGGTCCAACTGGATATAAACGAAAAGGCCTGGCGAATAAGCCAAGCAGGTGCCCTCCAAAAAGATCTCAGGTTTACTGGAATGTGTGAAAATGCTGACCCAAGTGTGTGTAAGAGAAGAGGCCACTCAGCAGGTCCACTCAACCCAAACACAGAGCCAAAGGGGAAGGAAGAGTGAGACTCCAAAAAAAGTGCCACAGACACGAATGGGTCAAGATCTTCATGTGTCACAAGGAGGGCATACAAGGAAGGCACAGTTCCTTCCATCTCAGAAACCAATGGTGCAGACAGGAAACATCCAGATTCTAGACAAACATACGGGCAAGTGCTCCATTGTATGACACAGAATGAAAGTGCTGAAGAAGCTTTGAGGCCAGAATCAGGGCAGCGGGCTGGCGGGTCAGGCAAGGGCTGGAGAGGAGGCGGGCCCAACCCCACAGCCACCTCCTCAGCTGGTAATGTCTCCCCTTGTCTTCCACCACCCTGCTGCACACCTTCTCTAAGAACATAAGGTCATCTTGAGGGGGATTCATTTATTGGCATGTTCGTCAACACTCACTCCCCTTTCCCAATGGAAGATTGTCGCTGAAGCAAAGTGGGATGGCTGCGGAGGGTCAGGGGAATGCTCTGAGGAAATGAACAAACAAGGGGTTATTCTGTGCCCAGGTCCCCTCAGCAGCTCTAACGCAGCCCAGAGACCACCACCCATAGTCACTACAGTTCAAAGGGGAAACTTAAGGTAGACAGCATCCAGCAGACGTTTCTAGGTAAGGACATAGATTCCGTGGGGACTTGCCTCCACACATCCAGAAAGCGGTCTGGTGGTGTGATATACAGAGATTGGCTCTGGAGCCCACATACTCTAGGTTAGAACCCTGCCACTTTTTAGCTGTGGCACCTTGGGCAGGTTCCTGAGCGTCAGCTGCCTCATCTCTAAAATGGGTACATTATACCTCATGGGATTGTCATGAGGAAAAAAATTAGATCACATGCTTCAAGCACCTGGCCCAGTGCCCAGAACTTAGGACACACTCAAGAAGTACTAGATACTTTCCATGCAGGCTGTCAGCAAACACTTGAGTCCTACAGGTCCAGAGATGCTTCTCTGACTGCTAGAAAGCAAAATCAGTAATGGCAGGAGAGACTGTAGAAACCTGTCCAAGAAAAGCCATTGGGATCAGCTCGAGATGTCAGCATTCCTCCTTGAGGGAGTTAGAGGTATTTTTTTATTCCCTCCCAGGCGTCTGGAGTCTCCTCACGACTCTCTGAAGTTGCTGGTTAGTTAAGGCAACCCCAACCCCGTCTGAAGTGACTCTGCCCCGTCATGGCCATGGGTGACTTTTCCTGGCACTCCAGTTCTGAGCCTTCCCTGGTAGTGGGACCTCGGCTAGATTCTAGGAAAAGCTATGTGGTTGTTGTCATGAGGGATGAAAAGGAAAATCAATGATGAACTGCCTGCATCAGCACTCTGAGGCTCAGAACGTGCGCGAGCCGCTGAATCGGCTGCCACGGGGGATTGAGTGGCGAGGTTGCCTTGCAGGGTGGGGCTCCCCCGGTTGGTTTCCAATCAGGGACAGCCCAGCAGCTGGATTTGCTGCAAGAGGCACCGCTCCGTCAAGGACAGTGGTTTTGCAGTATTTTCTGACAGACCAAAGGGAAACCACAAACAATAAAGAAAGGTTAATAATTCCATTCCCAGGAAGGAATGTCATCCCTTGCTTTCCTGACAGACTCCACAGGACCAGACATTCCTCTGCATCCCTCCTCCCTGCGTCCCCCTCTCCAAGTACACATGACCACCACCACCATAGTTAAGGACTATATTCCTTCCAGAGGCCAGTATCTCTGAGGCAGGCCCAGCACGTGACTCCTGGAGCTAAATCCTGAGGTGACCCCCTCAGGGCAGCAGACTGACCCTCTCCTAGTGCCCACTTCCACACCATGCACGTAAGGCCCCCAGAGAGCAGCAGTGAAGAGCTGAACCTTGGCATCAGATGGGCAGTCCTCATTTTGAACAGCAGCTCAAATTCTTCACTACCTGTGTGGCTGTGGGCACATCACAGGCCTCCTGAGCATGTTACCCCACCGACAGAATGGAGCTAATAATGCCAACTTCTCCCAGCAGTGGTGAGGCTTACATGAGATATAGAAAATGTTACATGTGAATATATGTTACCATCGAATTGAGTCCAACTCATAGCAACTTGTGTATAACAGAACGAAATACTGCCCAGTCCTATTCCATCTACACGATCATTGGTACGTTTGAGTACATTGTTGTGGTTATTGTGTCAATCCATCTCATTGAGGATTTCCCTCATTCTCGCTGACCCCTCTACTTTACCAACCGTGATGTCCCTTTCTTGTCATTGGTCTTTCCTAATGATGTGTCCAAAGTAAGCTAAGTCTCACCATTTTCACTTCTAAGGAGCATTCTGTTGTACTTCTTCTAAGACTGATTTGTTTGTTCCTCTGGCAGTCCATGGTGTATTCAATACTCTTCACCAATACCACTGTTTGAACACATCATATGGGCATCATATGGGCACACAGTAAGCCATCAATAAATGGCAGGTGTAACTTTTTAAATCATCCTTATCTTTGTCTCTGTTGTTATTATTATTCGTTCACTTTTGTGCAACTCCCTCTCCGAGTTCTTTTCAGCCCCTCTAAACCCTGCCTACTCCTACTCCTGGCTCAAGACCTACATCCATGGCGAATTTCTGGGGCATTCCAGAAGCCCATTACAGAGTGTGTGTGAGCTAGCAATGAGGGGCGCAAAGGAAGAAGGCAGCTCCGGGCCTGGGACAGTCAGACTGGACAGGGCAGGAAATCAACATGGGTATAGTAGGTTTCTTAAGGAAGTACAAAGCCACCTGGCAGAGGACCAAGTAAGGTCTAGAGAGAACATCCTGTTGAGCAATTAGAGTTAGCATTTGAGGCAACTATTAAGAAACCATCTCGTATTACACTTGCTAGTTGATGGTTCTTTCATAAAACAAAATGTCTGAGTGCTAACTGTGGGACTTACATAGGAAACTGGCAGGTAAGATCTGTCTTATCGCTCAGCATGCTTTTTTCTCTGGAAAACAATTTGAACTGTTTAAAAATAAATTAAAAGTTCAAACAGTACAAAAGTGGATAAAATAAAAAGCAAAAGTCTCTCTTCTTTTCCACACCTCAAAAGTAAACACTGAAAAGTTTCTTGCAAGTCTGTAGATACGTTTATGTAGTAAAGGCAGGGGAGACTGTAATAAAACCTTTCCAAGAAAAGGGTTCAAACCGCCGGTTCAGAGGCGGGGTGTGTATTTAATTTGGAGGATAGTGCCAAGTCATCTTGCACTCCAATTTCCACTCCAGCCAGCAGGCATGTATCCTCACCAGTGTCCCATGTGATCTAGTAACTCATCTTTGCCAACCTGATGGGTCAGAGTGGTATCTCATATTTTTAACCTGGTTTGTTTAATTTGTGCAAGTTTGTTGTTCTCGCTGTTAGCTGCCATCCAGTTAGCCCCTGACGCATGGTGACCTCCTGCACAACAGAACAAAGCACTGTCTGGTCCTGTGCCATCCCCATGATTGGTTGGGGTTTGGGCCATTGTGATCCTTATAGTTTTCATTTGCTGATTTTCAGAAGTCGATTTCCAGGCCTTGCTTCCTAGTTCGTCTTAGTCTGGAAGTTCTGCTGAAACCTGTTCAGCATTATATCAACACACAAGCCTCCACTGACAGATGGACGGTGGCTTCACACGAGGTACATTGGCTGGGAATTAAACTTAGGTCTCCTGCATGGAAGGCGAGAATTCTACCACCGAACCGCCACTGCTCCCGGAGGGTAAGGTTAGGTATTTTGAAATGTTTACTGACCTTTAATTCTATGAAGTATTTATTCATAGCTTCTGCCTTTTAAAAAAATAATCATTATTTTCTTCAAAATCGAAAAG